ATGCGGCGGAGGAGAGTTCGGAGGCGGCGGCGAGGGCGGAGGCGGCGGCGAGGGCAGAGGCGGCGGCAAGTGGGGGTGGCGACGGCGGCGGAGGCGAGGGTGGTGGCAGCGAGGGAAGCGAGGGTGGTGGCGGCGAGGGCGCTGCCCGCCGGTTAGCCCACCGCCCGGGTGCGTCGTGGAGGACGCAGCGCCACTCGCGCCCGTGCAGAGCCGCCGGCCGACGCAGCACCACTGGCGCTCGCACCAGCCGCCGGCCGAGGTGCAGAACTGTGACTTCACGACTACACGGCGGCGCCGCTCGGGGGGGTACCTTTCTGTGCGCCGTCAGCCTCGTTGTCGGGAGGCAAGTCGTCGCCACGCGGAGCGCTCATCACCTACGGCCCCAACGACAGCGCTCTAGCGCCGCCCTCACGCGTGCGGCGACGCCGCCATCGCCCCTCCGTGAGCCCGGGAGTGCGTGGACCGGCAGGTAAGGCTGTGGCGGGAGGCACACACCGGCGACACCGGCTCGACGCTCAGCGGTCGGCGGCGAGGAGGCGGCGCAGCCGGGCCGGGCCGCGCTGCGAGCCACCGCTCGGGCCTGCCGGCAGGTTGCTGCGGACCCTGTGGCGCCCGCCGGGCACACGAATGGCGCCCGCCGGCCCGAGGGAAGGAATTGGGGCGCCGCTTCATCGTGCCGGCAAAAGAGATTAGGCGAAACTAGCGGCGCGCCGACGGCGGAGGAGATATGCTATTTTGACGCCAAAACGTCGAACCACGGAATCAAGAAGAAGAAACTACCCCGAATGGAATCTAAGATACGGAAGAGCCCGAGAGAGAAGGGAAGGGTGGTGTTTAGTATCATCGTACTATGGACTCGGGGCCGGTGCTTTGACGCAGCACAGTGTGCTTCGTGGTAGCATGAACTCAGAACGGCCCCCCGAGAGCGCCTCTTCGACGCCCACGGCGTTCGGCCGGGGCGTCCTGGGCGGGCAAACGCCCGCCCCGGCGGCCGACTCTGGGATTGTAGGTCGAGTCTTGGTGGTACGGAGACGGTCACGAGACGGGACGGACGGGACGGACGGGACCTCCGGACTCTAGGACGACGCCACGGGACTCTAGGAGAGAGAGTGTGAAGGGAGTCTGGCGGGGCTTTGGCCCGACGTCCCCCCCCTCGACGAGTCGACGTACGGCTCTAGTCGAGCAACCGTAACTCGCTTCGTTAATCTCTCCGGACCTTCGATGTGAGTCATGTCGGAGTCCATCGGCGGAGTCGTCGACATTGTGGTCGACGGCGTGTGCGAACCGATAGCGCAGTGGCGTGTGTCGGCGAGCGAGCCGAAGGCGCGGGAGAGAGAGAAAGTCGAGAAAAACTCTCTCGGCGGAGTGGTCGACATCGTAGTCGACGGCGTGCGAACCAATTGCGTAGCAATCGTGTGGATCACCGGTATTACATACGCCCTGGCGAGGCGACGGCGAGACGGCTGACGGCAGCAGAGCCATCAGAGGAGGCGCCGCTGGTGACGAGGGCGACGCAGAGGGCGTCGGCGGTGGACGCATGGCTCTCGATGGCGGCGATGGCGGCGATGGCGGCGAGAGGGCGCCGGCGGAGGAGGCACCACTGCGGGTGTCAAGCCTGGCGTCCCAGGCTGAAGCAGAGGCGGAGGCGCCGAGGTCGGGGGCGCCGGCGGCGATGCCGCTGTAGAGATATCGCAGGCATCTGTAGTCCTCGCTGGCCACCGGGTGATCAGTCCAGAGGCCAGGAGCAATGGTGACGCCGTTGATGCAGAAGATGTCGATGCCGGATGTCGCGCAGGACCCGACTTCCTCTTAGGCGGACCCTCCCGATGCCAGGACGCATCTAGTGCTAGTGTCGCTTTAGGAAATGCGGCGGCGAATGGCAAAGCGCATAAAGAAAGTCGGGGTCTCCGCTCGGCAGTGAGAGTGACTCGGTGACTGTCTGTGCTGTCTACCGCAGCAAAACTGGCCCCAGGTTTTTGGGCTTCGGTTTCGTCGCCAAGCATATAGCCGGCTGCGGCACCTTCAGAAAAATCGAGCGCAAAAAAATCGTCTCGTCTCGTATAGGGATGTGGAAGTGGTGGCTCTGTTTGCGTCGCGCCAGACCCTTAAATGGGCTTGATCCGAAAGTGGAGGCCGATCAGCGAGAAGACAAAGCACTTGAGGTCCTGCCAGAGCGCGGAGCAGGTCAGCGGGTCGGGCTGAGGGCTCTCCACGCCGGGGCAGCCGCGAGACCTGGACCAGATAGTAGAAAACGCGCAAGCCCTCTGGGTCTTTGGACTCCTGCACATCAAGCAACGAGCCGATCTTGCCCGTCGCAAACGAGATGTGCTGGCCGCCCGATATGACCTCGAACTCCTGGCCGTGCGGAACGGAGCGGGGGGTGGGGACGGGTGAGTGGGTGTGCGGGGGGAAGGGGGGGGGGGCGATGGAGCTACGCGACGAAGTGCGTGCATGGAAAGGTGTTGGCGCGTGGGAGGGCGGTACAGAAGGGCGGAGCTTGATCTCGGAAGCCGCGCTCGGCCCAGACGCGGTTGGGCGGCGGGGCTCGCCTGCCGGCCGTTGCGGTCGGGCTCAGGCCACTGCTTGTCGTCCTCGCGCACGATCTCGGACTCGGCCACGATCCGCTTCAGCTCAGCCACCACCGCCTGCGACACGTACGCCTGCTTTCGGATCATCGTGTCGTTCTTGTAGTTTGAGTTGTTGGCGTAGCGCAGCCGGCCGTCGGGACGGATCTCGAACTCGAGGAACTCGTGGCCGAACTTTCCCTTGTGGCCGACCTGCGGGGGGGTGGGCGGCTTTTGGTCGAGTGGTCTGGGGTTCGAGCCCGGCCGGGCGAGTAGCGCGGAGCGCTCGCGGCGCGGCGCACGTAGTAGCGGAGGTAGAAGTCCTGTTCTTCTTCCATGGAGCGAGCTCTTCTGGCGGGCTTTCCTCGACTCTCTCTCCCCTGTCAGCGTGCGCCGCCCCTCTAGCCCGGGGTAAGAAGAATTTTCATACCGCACATTCTCGCACAAAATTCTCGCACATCACTGGCCACGGGACTGGCATGCGCTGGCACTACGCCTAACACCACCTAGCAAAAAGAATTTGAGATGGCGAATTCAACCAACGGCCTGTTGGCCTCAGTCCGCTCGCTGGCCCGTCAGTCAGGGATGCTCGCCGGAAGCGTCGATGCAAAGTCAAACAAAGGAAAGTTGCCGCTCGTCACCGGCGCCGCCTAGGCTGGGAAAAGAAACTTGCGACCGCTCTCTTGCACACACAACGCTGGCTGGGCACGGGACTGGCACGCACTGGCAGTAACACAGGTACGCTACGGGAGCCGCCTGAGTGAGCGACTCTCGCGAGGGCGGCGAGCGAGGCACTTAGCTCTCCGTGCACTCGACCCCCCTCCCCCCCCTGCCCCCCCCTGGCAACCAGCAACGTTCACAGCCGAGTGTGGACTCCTATGTAGGGGTGAACCTGGTACAGTGCTGCTCACATCCTTCGACTTCTAGGATCGCGCGAGGCTGCTCCCACTCCTAGCCTGGTAGAAAACGCTGTGCCGCCCCTTACTTATCGCGCCCTTTATTTACTTCAAGTCGGAGTTCTGCCTGTGTTAGTGCGCACCGACAGACAGGGGACAGCACGCGCTAGTCCGCACCTCCGTGTGTCGAGCCTGTCTGCTGTGAGACAGAGAGAGTTTTGTTTGATACTTCCTGCCTCGACAGGGAGGGGGCGCGGAAAGGAGAAGCCTCTTATTTCCTGCGAACACGTTGCTTCTAACCCCAGCCAATTCTTGATGACGAGATCGGCCGTCGATCCCGAGGCACGAGGGTCGTCGGTTGAGCTAGGGAGCCTGGCGATGGACGCCACCACGACACCCTCGTGGCATCTCTCGCCGTCGGCGAGCAAGGGGCTCGCGGAGGCAATCATGTGTACAGCGTGAATTGTCAATTGGCGGTTTCGCCCGCCATTACTCGTGCGTCCTCTGTCTCCTTAGACGCTCCGCCCCACGGCTCTGTCTGTTTTGTTTCCTCGCTCGTGGTCCAAGTCACCTCAGCTGAGACCCTCTTCGCGGCGCACTCGGCTTCGCCTAGTTCGTGGGAAGCGAGCAGGCACCGCGAGCTTGAGAGTCTTCACCCATTGCGCACCTCTTACTAGTGTCCTTGTGGCTGAGACTTGGGAGGTATCGATTGGGACTCCCTACCTTAGAGGGCGGTAGGAAACCCAAACCAACACCCCTTGCGCTCTTCACAAAGGGGCTCTCATAGCAGAAGGTGGGCGGAGAGAATTAAGCTATAAATAAGCAAGTACGTACAGCGGGGAGGAGTGGTAGGAAACGGAACCCGTTCACCCTTGGGTATTCATGCCTTCGTTCCCACCGCTGTGCGCCCCCCCCCCCCCCCAGCGGGTCCCCAAGGGTGAACGGAACTTGCTGTTGCTCGACTGTCTGTGCTTGTGCGTCTTGGTTGGAGCATTTGGAGCACTTGGAGTGCAGTCATCAGCCTCACACCCAGGGCCGGGGAGCTAAGAAGGAAGCGCAGCAGCGGCCCGGATCTGGGCCGGATGACCGGGATCGGGTTGCGAGTTAGAGAGCCCTAGCCCTGGGGGCGGGGGGGGGGGGGTGCGCGGTCGCAGGGCCATAACACGGGTCTCCGAGGGTTAGCCCTTCGCTTTGGGTCCTGGGGGTTTGTTTCGCGCAAGATGTAACGGGTGGCTAAGGGCTTTGCTCGCAAGGCGCCCGCGACGCATTGACAAATCTGCGATACCCCCACACGAACAAATAGCAAAATCCGAATACCGTGCACAAATGTGGTGAGCCGTGCAAGCCTTCAGCTGGTGCTAAGACTTCCGTAAATTGAAACCAAGAGCGTCCGCCAAATCCGTGCTTTCGGCGCACGTTGAGGGGAAGCCGCTGATCGAGCCCAGCGTGCCCGCGGCCGCTTCCCGCGCAGCACCGCCGCTGGGGACGACACGCTGCGGAATCGGATCGATCCCATGGAGGAGGAGGGCGCAGTCGGCGAATTGGAGGAGGAGGAGGGCGACGAATGGGAGGAGGAGGGCGCAGTCGACGTTGTCATGTCTGACTCAGAGGAGGAGTTGGAGGTGCTCCGGCAACCTGGCCTGATTCAGAAGCTCGCCGCCGTTGTCACTCAACGTGCGTCATGCGTGATCGAGCTTGAGGGAGGAGCCCCGCTAACGATTCGGCCGGCAACCCAACGCCGCCGCCCATACCCGCCACCCACAAAGCGCCTGCTCTACTATCCCATACACCCTCTCCACTTTTCCACTGATCATGCCTGTGATAGCACCATCACTGCCGCCGTCCTGGTTTTGAACGTGGCAGCTAGACTCTAGGGACTCGGTAGTTGTGACCCCCCTGAGTGAGGACAGAGAGAGCTTTTGTGGTGTTGCTGTTGGTGTACGCGCAAAACGGGACAGGGTGGTTGTTCTGACTCTCAAACTTCCCTTCTAGCTCTTAGCATGAGCCGCGCCCTGTGTCCGACCCCCTTTGCGCAGCAACACCTTAAAACTTTTAGGCCCTCCCAATTCGGGTGGGTCGGAGCGTGGCGGAGATGGCCCCGAGTTTGAAAAGGGCGACCGACGCTTGCGTCCTAGCCTCCAACAACGCCTCCCCGGCGCAGAGGGGCCCCCGGAGGGATGCTCAACCGCTCTACGCCACGCCGCTTGCGGCGGTCCTATTCCCAGGGAGTTTTATTGTAAAATTCCTATTCCCAGCTCCGCTGAGGACCTCTGCGTGAACGGAACCCGTTGCATTCCCTCCGCGGTTGTGGATCCGCACGCAACACCTCCGCGCGTGTTGGGCGAGTCGCCAAACCGCACTCCGAGTGCTCCAGGTGCAGCTGAGCGAGTGATGTGCCAGGGCCCCCTGCTTGCACTGCCGCCGCCTGGGGCCTCAGCCCGGTCGGAGTCAGCTCCGATGGACACCCCTCCTGAACAGCAGCTCCCGCCGCCGCCGTCGCCAACTCTAGGAGCCTTCAGCAGTTCGGTCAGGGAGCAACGGCCGCAGTCGACGAGCTGCTCCCTCTTTTTAGGAATCGCTGTGATGTGTATGCTCGCAAGCCTCTTCTGGGCCGGCCCGGCCATTCTCGTTGCCTGCAGGGTTGGGCACTGTGGGAGAGGTCGGCCAGAGGCGGCCGAGCTCTTTCCCGCAGCATCGCTTCCGACAGACCGGTCGCCCGCTGCCAGGGAGTGGACACAGGGCGAGGGCGGTGGAACGCATCTGCTGAATTGATGACCAATGCGCAGCCAGGTGCACGCAGCCGGTCGTGTAATGGAGCCAGCAAAATATTGTGGGACCTCCGTCTAGAGAAGACGGCCGACGCGCAGCCCCGCGACGGAGCTGGCATATACAGCAGGAGCTGGGCCCTGCACAGTCCCGTTTTGGTATTACGTGAAGGTAAAACGTAGAAGCTACGATTCTGTGTTGTGTGTGCTGTGTCCTGTGTGGGGGTGCCGCGAGGCGGTGGCGCGTGTGGGTGTGGCGGGACTGGGGTCTGGGGAGCTTGTCAATCAGTGCTTGTGCGTGAAACCTGAAACGTACGGAGAGATTTAGAACACTCCGCGACGCCGAGGGCGGGCGCCGGCCGGTGGCGATCGTAAACGGCCAGAGGCGCTGCCAATTGCACTCCAAGTGCTCCAAGGGCCAGCTCTTTCACCCCTCTGAGAGTCCGTCTCTCGCGCGCCGCCCGCTCCTCCGTGCCCCCTCTCAAGGCCGCGGCGGCTTGTGCCCCCTCAAATCTCCTCGACCGCAGCGGCCTGGGGCGGCATGGCAGGCGGCGGCGGGGCCGGGGGCGCGGCCGGCGCGGAGGTGGCGGCGGCGGCGGCGGACGACGTGGGCGCATTGTCGCGCAGCAACTGCTCGCAGTTTAGCAGCGACTTGGCGACGATGGCGTTGTTCGGCTCGAGCTCGAGCGCCTTCCGGTACGCGGCGGCCGCCGGGTCGAGCAAGCGCAGCCCGTGCAGCGCGTTGCCCTTGCGCGAGTAGGCCTTTGCCCAGTCCGGCCGCCGCTCGATGCACGCCTCGGCGTCGCTCAGCGCCTATTCCACACCCCTCGGACATGCGTCGCACGTTGCCTACGAGGCGTCCACGCCGCGGCGTCTTGCGTCGCCGCGCTGTACTCCTTCAGGCCCGCGTAGGCGGCGGAGCGGTTCGAGAGGAGCTGTGCGGGCACCTCGGCGGTGGCGTATGCGCCGATCGCCAGCGTGAAGGCCGCGACGGCGCCCGCGTAGTCGTCGCGCTTGTAGCACGCGTTGCCCGCCTGGACCGCAGCCTGATTCGCCTCCGCGGACGTGGCCGCGCCGGCCGTCGGCGCGCCGCCCACGGCCGGCCGCTTCGCGTCGGGCCGAGCAGCGGCGGCCGCCTCGTGCGGCCGCTTCTGCGCTGCGCCGCCGGCCGCGCCGGGCGGCGGGCCGGCCGCGCCGGGCGGCGGGCCGGCGACCGCCGCGACGGAGGGGGCCGGGGGCGGCACTGCCGGCGGCCCCGCCGACCCGGGCGGGAGCTGGCGCTCGAGCGACGTGACGGCCTGCGCGGCGTGGGCGTTGCCCGGGTCGAGGCGGAGGCAGGTGCGGAAGGCCTGCAGCGCGAGCGCCGGCTGCGACATGTTTGCGTGTGCGGTGCCGATCCGCGACCACCCCTTTGAGAAGTTGTGGTCCACGTCGACGCACCGCTTGGCGTGCAGCAGCGAGTTTTTCCAGTCCTTGAGCGACGCGTACACGGCGGAGAGATTGGAGTGCAGCTTGTGCGCGTGTGCAGAGGCGCCACTCGGGTCGAGCGAGATGGCCTGCGAGTAGAGCTTGCGCGCCTCGGCGAGGTTGCCTGCCTGGTAGGCCGCGTTGCCGCGCGCGCGGAGCGCGCCAATGGCCTTCTCCTGCTGCGGAGATAGCTGCTGCTGGGGCGGCCGCGGGGCAGCCGAGGGGCCGGCGGCGCCGCCTGTTGCC